GGCTTTCATCTTGGTATATTCCTTTAGTTCAGCCAATCTTCCATGGCAAATACTTCATCACTCACTTAAATATGTCAGCCCATGCTGGTCAGGCTAAAGGGGATGGATAATATTAGATCTTCTAATTAAACTTAACTCTCACCACTTCTGTCCAGCAAAGATTTTTTGAATTAATATCAAGTATGTCTTATGAACTTATGACCACACTGCTCAGTGCTGAATCTCCTGTTCCATCCAAAGGGATGGCTTCTTCCTCTAATCAAGTCCTATGAGAAAATTTGGGTTTATTCAATTCCTCTCAGAAGAATTAAAATGGACAGGAAAAAACAAAAAAGGTCTTATTTCTCAGCTCTCCCAAAAGCTTTGTTCAAAGAGAGCTCCATACCAACAGTAAAATCTCCTTCACAGGATGCTGTCAAGATACCTGCAATAATTTTAAAACTAATTTGTTACTCCTTGTTGTTTATAATCCATTTGAAGCAAAAAGCTAAAATCTATTTCCATTAGTTCCCCAACTCCTCCATCAGGCACACCATGCCAAGGAAACCACTTTTCCAACATAACATGTACACAAAGAGCATGAAACTCGATTTTTTAGATTAGCTCTATGACCAAGACATATGGTTTGGAACTCAGCTGTACACCCTGGCACTAAAGGCATTAACTTGGAGGATGATGGATGCAATAATGAATGGAACAGCACAGTGGAATATGCTATGGAAGGGCCCTAATTAGCAGGTGAGGTAACTAGGAATCAGGAAGAATGGTGAAGGAGTGTGACATGACAGAACAGTAAATCTTCCTGGGTCATGGCTGTACCTGCACTCAGAGCTCCTCAAAGCCTTGCATTCAGACTTTTCAGAACCAAAGATGAGAAGGGGGCTCTGTATTCCATAAAATGGAGGCAGAAATTGAAATCAAGTGAAGCCGGAGGGGTAAAACCTCCAACGAGGGACCTGTGCAGACAGTCATCACATGAGCAAAGAAATTATAAGGGGTTTATCATTCTATTATTAATATTTTCTGGTTTGCAGAAAAAGGAGGAAAAATTCCCTGTGAAACTTCGTTACTTTGTTTTTAGCAACTTTCAAATGGAGATAGGGCTCCTTGAAGATTGATTTGGGCAATCCAGACAAGATGAAAAAGAGTTTGGGTATTTTACCACCTTCTTTTCTTGTTCCTAGGTTGAACAAAACCTTAGATAAGATCAATAGTTTCTTTAGTTTTATGTTTCGGTTCCTTAAGGGTAGTTGGCTTATTGCATTTCCATTGATCACACAGACAGGGAGATTCGTCAGACAAACCATCTCTTTTCTCCTTTCATTTCCATCCTCCTCTCCATTTGAAATCAAATGACTTTTAAAGAAAGCTGGGGTCACTATTGTTTCTCATTTACATATCAATAGTACCCAATTCCTGCCTTTCTGTCACTGAAGTATTTTAAAAGTTCAGTCCAAGAGAGGGGACACACATTGCAGGGGAAAAGCTCTTACAGCTTTTTTATCAGGAAAACTAAGTTCTGGTTTACCTCAGCCCTTCCTTGACCTGAGATGAGTGAGGTACACTCACCACCCTTGTGTAATTAATATTTTAACCTCTTGAAGCCTCTCTACAGCTTTCTTGCTCTTCCTAAATCCTTTGGGCCATCCCGATCAGATGTCTGTACAGCTCCAAGTGCTGAACCTGTGCTCACAGCCAGCAAAGCAGCTGCTTCAATGAATTCATTTCTTGAATTGAAAAGAGAAAAAGAGCTTGAAAGTTGGAAAAAAATGAAGACCAGGTCTGGTGCTCTCTAACAGGAGTCTGACCACTGATTCATTGAATGATGCTGGACCTGGAAGCCTCTGCTGCATTTAACAAGATGTTTTAAGTCCTAGCTGCTGTTTGTACTTCGAGGTGTAAAAGTAACAAAACATAAGGGTGTGCTTGTCCAGGGGAAATTCTGGATATATCCCTACAGGGAGATCAGTCATATGCAATTGGAAAACTGACTCAATGATCCACAGTTAAACAAATCTTCCAAACCAAATGTCAGAAGGCCTTAAGTATAGGATGTTGACATCTTCTGCCTGAGAATTAGTGTCATTCTATTGCTCGGACACGCATCCAACTTCATGGTCCAACAGTGAGAAACGTGTGCTCTAGCCACTAGAAAAGCATGACCTCTTATGTAATTAATTTCCAGTTTACAAGAATGATTTTAGGGCTCCAAGACACTGATGAAGTAGCTTTGGCTTGACAGATGGAAGCTGAGGATTAAATGGTATTTATGCAACAAAATCTTCAGTTCAGTCTGTCAATTCCACACTCTTACTAATCCACTTGTAACAGCAAGTAAATAGGACCAACTCTAAAGACCACTAAAAAGAAGAGGAAATAGCTTATAAGTATCCACTTTCTGGAAGAAATACTGTATGTATTTATATGCAGCTCCAGCATAATCAACATAAGAAATTATATTCTATTTTGATACTAACAAGTTGGCTACTTAATGCATTAGGAAAAAATCGTGGAAATCTGCCTGAATCATAGAGGCTGCAATAAGTGTTTGTATTTTCCTTATAATAGGGAAATGGTGAAGGAATTATTCATAATGGAAATATTGATGTATCCTCCATCTTTGAGATAAATCACAACCCTAAACAAACAAACAAAAACCAAACAAAAAAACCCCCACCAACTCTATAAATCAGAAACGAATATGTGACCTCATAAGCACAACCCAGTGATTCAATTAGGATTCAGCTTTTCAAGGCATTCATAATGGAAATTTCAGAACTGCTTTACAGCTTTCAGAATTCCTTGAGAGCCATGGGAACATTGGATTCTCTCACCAGTCACAAACCTCATATGTGAACTTGCTCTTGTCCTCAGTGGTTGGTTGTGGCCCTGATCAGTGTCAACAAAGAGGACAAGAAGGAACATAAAAAATAATTTCATACATTTTAGGAGATTTCTCTTCCTATTATTTTAAGCATCTAATGACACACATGAAATAAGTTTGGTCAAAGGCCTCACAGATGCTGATGGAGAACAAGTCACTAGGTATTGATAAAATCTGACGTGTCACTGGTTTTAGATCTTACTGTGGTTATCTAAGAAATCAGTGAAATCCTCCTCTACAGAGATCATTTGGAGCTTTGTCATTGATTTCAGTCAAAGTAGATTTCCCCACTGTCTAAAAAGAGTCAAACCCACTCTCTTGACCTGTGGTGCCTATTAAAAAGCCATTAGCACTTCTCAGGAGTAGGGAGTGTTAGATATAATTGCCCTGGGCATTGCACTCTCTTGATTTTAACTGTCTGCCATTTTTTAATTCTGCATTTCCTCTCCTGGAATTGATGTGTGTATAGTAGAGCATAGTTAAAACAGCAGCTGAATACTTGCTGCTACATTCTACAGAGAGGTAAAAGGATTAGTATAGAGCTTACAAAGATAATAATTTGAATGTCTTATTAATTAATTGTTATTTGTAATAATGGCTCTTTCCTTAAGGGTCTTTCAGGATCCTTAACTGCTTATTAATGTTGTACAGATAAGGATTGCTCCCTAGTGGAAGAAATGAGGTGAAATGTAGAAGCCTTTCAAATGAAAGCAACAGGTTTGGAATAAGAAAAAGCAAACAAAAATAATCATTTGAAGGAATGGAGAATTATGATCACTCAAATACAATTACCTGACTTTATCGGTAATGCTTAAAAACTGCCAGGAGATCTCCCAGACTGATGCCTGATGCATTTGGTACAAGTACAGCCCTTCCTACCAACCTCACTTGAGGTGGAATTCTGGTCTGTCTAGATCACAGGCTCAGGCATAGCTTGAATTCATTGACTGCTGTCAAAAGTAGCCTTAGACTGGCTACCTCTGCCTGCCAGGAACAGGTAGGGTTTTCATGGAGGCTCTTAAATTTAGCCATTTAGGAGAATGCTCAGGCAGTGAGCCTCTACCAACAAGTGTTCCAGTTAATTACCTTAGAATTAGGCTCAAAACTGTCCATATGATGTGCCAGAACTTTTATTATAAGACTGTGAAAGCTCTTGTAAGGAGAAGTCCCTGTATCATCCCCACAACACTCCTTTCTCCAGCTCAGTGCTTTTGGCTGCAGACTGGAGTTTCCTTTTATTTCCCTGCTGAATGAAACCTCAGAGAGCTTTCATTCAAACCTCTATTTTCTTGGCACAGAAGGTGAAAGAATGAAGGAGAAAATAATAAGATTCCCCAGAAAAGAAATTCTGGCTACATGGGTCTGGAGAGAGCTCAGCAATGGCCATCTCCTCCATCCAAGCTCATGAGATGTGCATTAGGAGGGTGGCATGTTGGAAAGGATGAAAGTTTGACAAGAAAGTCTCACAGATATGGATGCTTGGCAGAAAGATTTTTAAATGTAGAGTCTGATGAAGGAATAGAGTTGGAAGCAAGTTTTGATATAGAAGAAAAGAATTGCTGAGGCAGTCTTACTGGAAAACCAAGGAGGTGAAGGGTGTGTTAGTTAGAAGGGGTTTTTATGACTTAGAGCAAAGGATAAACCCAACTCAAACAAGATGTTTTTACCAAGCAGAAAGAGAGCACAGGCAAACAAATCAGCAAATGTGGCAAGTAGAAAAAAGGTCTCAGAATTTTCCACATCAAGAAAACTGAATAACAACTTCTAGCTTAAACTGTAATGTACTAACTTTTAGTGATTGGAGAACAGTAACATGACTATGGTAATTATAGTGGTTATGATAGGCTATAGATAATAGTTAAGGTATAGATTGGTTCTACTGTATTAAGATGCTAAGCAAAGAAAAGTATAAAATGCTTTGTAACCAAAACCAAAGGGTCTGCAGGGCTGCCTGCAGCTGGAGCTGGCAGCTGTGGGCACAGGCTCTGTCACCCACAACCCTGGGCTGCTGTAATGTATTGGATGGAATAAACTGCATTTTGGAGAGCCCCTGGAGTTCCACATCTCTCATTTAGGCCCTTACAGTGGCAGAGGGTTTTTTTAAAGGTTTACTCACTCTGTAGAGCCCGTGGCTGCAGCTGCAGTAGGTGCTTTCCATGGTGTAGCTCCTGAGCACCCCCATTTCCTTCCACACCACCACACGGGCTGTCGACGCCCGCGACTTCTCCACCAGGAAGCTGCAGCTGTTCATGACAAATGCAGGGGCCACTTTATCCAGGATTTTGGGAAGAGTCTGTGAGAAAATGAATTGGACAGATGTGCACGTGTTGTTATCATGCACACACATACAGAGAGACCTGTGTGTCAGTGTGTCCATAATCAAATCTAGCCATAGGTACTGAGAGCTCCAACTGGTGCATTACCTCCATCTCATGTGAAACCCTCAGATTTTAACATCTGTTTCATTCCAAAGACTGAAATGCAAAATTTCTGTAGACTTGACATATCTCACTGCAAATCAAACATTTGCACACCAAATAGTTTGAGTGAAGTGCAGAAGTCAGTTTTGCTCTCAAGCTGCTTCAACCAACCCACACCTTCTTGTTGAGCTACCAAGAGTCACAGCTCAGTACCTGACATCGCTATTCTCCCCTCTACAACTCTATTATACCTCCTCCCACCATAATTCCAGGGTCAGACAAGGGATTGAGCCATGGGAGGAATTTTGTCTGAAGCTGGTACAGAGCAGAGAAAGGGGATCTGTTTCCTCATAGAACGTCACACATAATAATGTGAAAATAAAGCCCAGCATTTAACTAACTTGCATTGTGAAACAAACCAAAATATTCTCTTCCAGGTCCAAACAATGTATTGCATACAGTTCACTTAAAGAAGCACAATAAAAAGTAATAATAAAACCAGTAAATATTACATTTTAGCCCTGAGTGATTTTCTTACTCTCAAAATCATATTTCCCAACAAAGTCTACAAACACGCCTGAAGTATCAAATATTCCATCAGTGAAGAGGCAACAATTACTTAGTCATTACAGAGGGCTAAATGTCTTATTTTTATACTCCATAAAAATAGATAACAGCTACATGGAGCACACCTAGTGCTAATGAATAGACTGGACCATTAGATATACACACATGCCTGTGGGTTATGTCTATGTGTGTCTGAACTTCAGTGCTGCTACACCAACCCCATGTGCAAAACACCATTTGATCCACCTAGAGGAGACCAAGCAAAATTAGAATGTTCATTCTTTCTTTTATGACAGTTTTCTCAAACACCTGAACTGTAAGGAATCCTACAGAAGGAGTTCCCACACATTGCTAGTGGCATTTACCCTTGAATTTCATTCAGTTTGGGTAGTGAAAACTAACCAGCTAATTTCACTTTCCAGTAACCTTCAGCTTCCCCAATTAATTCTGAGGACTTGTAGTTCTGTTCTTTTGGGCTTTACTTCACATCACTGTAAGGAAATATTTGATTTCAAAGTTACTGAATAATGTTCTTTCCTAAAACATGCTTGATATGAGTGATACATATTTGGTCTAAACTACTTTACAAAATCTCTTGCAAACTACTTAACCATACATATCTTTCATTTATACATTTATCATTTTTCAGTGTATTCTGGCCTCAGCCATCACTGGTCTCCTCCAGTTCCATGAAGTCCATTTTTCACATGAAAAAAACTGAGGCAGAGAAAACTAGAACAAAGCAAAAAACTTCACTTTAAATCTGAGACCACCTCAAGCCTCAATCTTAAGTCAAGATCTCCAGTGTGTTACTAAGAGCTGCAGCACTCTCTTTCCTGTGGGCAGACTGAACAGAGAAACCTTGAAAATTCACTTCTTGCCTTTGATAAAGCATCCAACATTTCTGCACTGCCTTCAGCCTGCTACTTGCTGCACAGAGATCACAAAATGGTATGGCTTCATGCACAGCTTCCAAGTTTTCCTGGATTTTGACTGAGAAGGAATCAAAAATATGCAGCAGAAGCATAGCACAACCATGAGACCCAGTTAAACTGTATGTGAATTGTATGTGCCCTTATCTGAACCCACACACAAAATTTTGTAAACTTATCACAACAAATACAATAATCAGAACCCTAATCTAGTTAAGTTTTTTAGAGCAATTCAAATTATATGCATAATCAATCTTTTACTTTTAATTAAATAAAAATACTGGCAGGTAACAGTAATGTCTCTGTACACAGGACTCATTTAGAAGCATTAGCAAACCCAAATTTAATATTCTTTTCATTTTACCAGCATTTGCTGGATTTCACACTAATGGCTCTTTCTTCTCTATTGATTCTTCTCATTAATTATCTTTCAATAATATATTTTGTGTGAAAACACATCCCTTTAAAGGATGCTTTTATGATAGTGCAGCAGTGTGACTGCACTCCTTGTCTCTCAGCAGCTGGATTTATCATGTGTGGCAGCAAAGGAAGCTGCTCCACTTACATTGGACCCTGTCCATAAACCTCCAATCCCATTCCAAAAAAATCCAGTTATATTTCTTTACTAATGTCCCAGCAGAGATTGCTGTCAAAGGGGCCTGGAATGTTTATCAAAAGGTTGGGATTATGGTGCCAATGCTGTGCAAGTCACCCAAGGCCACCAAATATTAAAGGCAGGGAGGGCTCTGACTGTACATTGCCAAGGGCTACAGCTGAATCTATAACGTATGAGGCAAAGGCTCTTCCAAAACCCATAATTTTCTTGAGGTATTTGGCTTCTGTTCCTGTGGAGGAAAATCAATCACAGAGGCCAGATTAATTCCCATTACCCAGAGGAGGCAGGAGAGAAGGCTGTGCAAACAGGGCAAGGCAGCAGCTCTGAGGCCAGCTGGAATTGCAGATGTGTCCCTGTACAGACCCAGCTTCCCCAGACTAAGCTGGAGAAGGTGATCCATAGGCTGGGTCTGCAGCAGGCACCCACCTCCCATTTCATCCAAAACAAGGATTTGAGCCATAAAAATCTTCTCATGGGCCACTGCAGAGTGCTCTTGGACAGCCCTGGATTCATTGCAGATTCAGGTCAGGCTCCACATGCTGACAGTAACATTTGAATTCTGTCTGTGCAGCAGAGCCCTCCTCAGCCTTTGCAAGCCCCCAGAATTCAAACACAGCCAGAAATATCCTGGCTGTGGGAATCCTCCCTGCTTTCCTCAGGAATCAATGTTTGCCACAGAGACCCCTCACAGCCAGCACTGGGGTACTTTCCTCCAGTAAAGTTGCAGTTATTTCTGTGCAGCTCCATAAGATAAGCACAGAAAACATGAAAATCTCATGGAAGGATGTTGAGTATTTATGCTGAAGTAGCAAAAATTATACAGAGGCATAAACTGACAAAGACTCTTCAACCGCTTTCAGATTTTAGTGATCCAAGCTCTAACTGTAATCAGTTTAAGGCCACAATTAATGTTTTGTGAAATTAACATTTTTTAAGACCAGAATTGGATTTTATATTTCTTTTTCCTGAAAAAACTTATTGAATAGGAAAATATCATTATAATAGATACAAAAAAAAGGTAATAAAAAAAGAAAAAATAAATAGAAAGAAAACAAAAGAGAGAGATGGGCAGGAAATTCAAAGGAGAGTTTGATGAACACGACATGCCCAATGAAGCAGAAATAAAATAGATTTTAGAATTTTTTCTGATTCCAAAAGGAAAAAAAAAATCTTAAGTGTGACACCAAACATTTGTTCTGGAGATAGCTTCACTATGATAGATTTGTTTGGCATGCATTGAATTATCTCATGTTTTCAGTGGGACCAGAAGCATTTTGTGATGAAGAAATTCAGTTTAGGAGGACTGTGGGACACCATGATCTTCTCAGTTAAAATTACATAACTCCGATTTATTTTCATATCATGGGTAGGATGGTGAGGACAAAATTATATGTATATTTAGAAATTATAAAACACACAAAAATATCTCTGTTCTATTAGCATGTAGCCAAATGTTATAGTGCATCATTTTACTGAAATAAAATAAATAGCAAATACACCATCAGTAAATGTGTCCCTAATATCTGGTGCATGAAGATATAACATATGACTCAAAATTCTCTGGACTATTATTCCTCTGGAGCAAGGAAAGTTTGCAACCTATTGTTAAAATTTCTGAGGTGACCTTATCTTAAATATTTTAAATATGTAAGCACATACGAGCCACTAATTAAGGAAGGAACCAAGAGCACCTACCCTGTAGCCAACATCTTCTGTGACAACTGCTGTGTCAACCATGCAGCCTGCTTGCCACAAGGTCTCTTTAATGCTGCAGCCATAGAGAAACACATTCTTTTTCTGGGAGTGCCCGTGGTAGTCACAGAAGACCTAGAGAGAGGAAAAAATAAGGCAAAATGTTGAACATTGTAAAGGTTTCTTGGTTCTTCATAATATCCACTGCTAGACTATGGCAGGGAGGTGTTAATTTTTAAGGTCTCTTCAGAGTAGCTTAGACTGGACCGTGCCTTTGACCTGTGTCAGACTTCATTAGTCACTTGTATCTTGCTTTATTTATTTGATCTGACATGATCTCAGGGGTCCAGAGTCAAGCCTAGTGCACTTCTGTCTGCAGCAGAAATAAACATGACACCTGGGCGAGAATCCATGGCAACTCAGGAACCTGAGGGTTCATGAGACCTCCTGATACCACAACGGAGCAATTTGTCAGGCTCTTTCTACTTCTAAACTCCTAAACTCCGGCTTTATCCTCATGGGACTTGAAATCCATGCCTCCCCAAATGATTAATCATTGCTTTGTGTTCTTTAAATTAAAAACCCATGCTACATAATTTTCAGGAAAATATAATTGTGCAATTGTATTGCCAAACCTTTGCATGAATTCCTGCAAGTCAAGCACAGAAAATGACCCATATTCAAGGCAAATAATCTCATTCCACACTAATTTATCTGTCTGTCCAATCCATCTCTCATGTCAGCTGTCATATAAACGAGGCACAAGGCACATTCCCATTTTAGCGGAAGTTTTGATTGCCTGTATAGGCAGATATTGATTCCCATGGAAATGAAAATCACAATTTAATGACCCGAGAGGTAAATATTGACCCAGGTCTTAAAGAATAATCAATCTCAGTGCCCTCTGAGATATGAAGTCGATGTACACATGGCTGTTACATATATTCTCCATGTCTTAATCAGGAATATTCAGAAATCTGTCAATGAAAATATAAGAATCTCTAAAGAGAAGGAATTATTTCATTTTAAACCAACAGCATTCACTGTAGAGTAGAAAGGAGCTTCAAGATTTCATTTAAACTGTTTTCCAGGACTTATGTTGGCGACAAATGAATGTGTGTAGAATGGTAGAGAAAAATTATGGACCCACATAGAGATGGAGGAGAAATATGGGGTACAAAAAATAGAATCATTTACGTTGGAAAATATCTCTAAAATCATCAGGTCCAATCATTAACCCAGCACTGCCAAATCCACCACTAAACTCCATCCTCAAGTGCCAACTGCACATCTATCCAATACGTCCAGGATGCCAACTCCACCACTGCTCTGGGCAGCCCTTTCCAGTGCTTGATAACCCTTCAGAAAAGGAATTTCTTTCTCATATCCAACCCAAACCTCCCCTGGCCATTGAGGTTTAGGTTGGATATGAGAAAGAAATTCCATTTGAGGCCATTTTCCTCTTGTCCTGTCAGCTTGGGAGGAGAGGCTGACACGCACTCACTGTCAGCCTGTCCAGGTCCCTCTGCAGAGCCTCCCCACCCTCCAGCACATCAACACTTCCACCCATGTCCCTACCTAAATACATGCACAAGAGGGGAGAAACAGATGGAGAACATGAGCTTCTTCCACCAACTGTGAGGGCAAAACTCACCCTCGTTTGCTTATTTACCAGCTCCACAGCAACTAAGTTTAGCTGCAGCATGTCAGTTTATTTATCTGGGAATTGAGCATGAACATTCTTTCAGCTCCTTTGACACTGGAGGGGCTGAGGCACACGTAATAACCAGTCAGATGGACAATTATACACATCCCAGAACTTACAGGCTGCTGTTTCCTTTGGTTTCTGTCCTGTCAACCTTCCTTCCCACAGCACCAACATCTCCAGATCTCTTTGTGGGGCTGAGGGCCTGCAGGTTCCACACCTGGAGCATGTGAACAGCCACCTACCCAGCAACAGCTCTGATCCACACACAATTATCCTGGAATGCCTCCTTCCAAAGAGCTGCATTTATTAATTCTCTTAATGACAGACATTTTTCCAGCCAGTGTTTCATCTGAGCTACCAGCAATGCACAGTCATAGATTAGGTTAACCACAGTTACCACCTAGAATGTATTTCTATGAATATCAAAGAGAATTTTACAGCTTTTGTCTGATTTCAAGGCAGAAAACTCGGCTCAATTGCATATCAATTACCTGCCAATTTACAGAATTACAGCACACAAAAAGACAATATATTATCTGCTTAAAATATTATTTATCAGAAACCATGCAGGGATGATCAGAGAGTGGAGCTGCCTGATAAGTAGCAGGTCTATAATTGTGCACCTCAAGAAGCCTTCAGGCAGGTCCTTATAGTGACAGATCTGGATTAAGACTTTACTGGTAAAAGATTACTAAAGCCAGGTTCTGTGATATGGCAGCTGGTTCAGGCCGTGGAATCTTTCACTGTCACCAGCATCCACAGGACAAGCGTCAGTGCCACTGAAAACACAGAAAATACTTGCATAGTGCTACATTTTAATTAATTTGACTGGATACTGCAGCCACTCTCAGTGTTTATACTCAATTATTCTCTACAGCCCATCCTTCTGCCTGATTTTCACACCACAGGGTAGCTTATGTCTCACCATTCAGCCAAGGCTAAGAGATATTTTGGAGTCTGAGCGCCCAACACAGAAATTTTCCTGGGATATGTCTGGGCAAGCACTGAGCAGACTTGGCACCTCCCAGTGCTTTTTCTTCAGCCTGTCCTTCCATATGGCTGGGACACTGAGACACACAAACCAGTCAGACTCCCAAGCCTGCACTCACTGGGATATGACTCAAAGACATGCACAATTTTTTAATCTATTTGAAGTTATTTGCCAGCACTGATCATACTGATCATCCTAAAGGTAAGGACTGCCTTCTAGCTCAAAAACAACACTCCTTATGAGTCACAGAACCAGGTACCTTTTAAAATAAAAGAAAAGCAGTGTATAAAGTGGAAAGTAAAAAAAGCTGTTGGAAAACCGAACTTTTCGAAATGACTTCTCTTTTTTCGTGTCAAGTCTCTTTCTTAATAACATTGTGACAGAGCATTAAATGCCAGTTTTGAGGTAGGCATGCTTAGAGGTTTTTTTCCTCCCAATGAGTACATTATTGCAGGCTGTGCTTGTTTCCAAGCTTCATATAATGACTTTGAGAGGCAGCAAACTCTGCTCAGAGCCTTCTGGTCCACTGGAAGTTCCTTTCCCCTTTTAGAGCATCCTGCTCTTCACTAGAAATGAGAGTCTCTGCAATGTCCCAGTGCACTCATCTCTTGGTCCCATTAGGGTTCCCACAGGCAACAAGGTAAGTAAAAAACTGTATTTAACAGTGTGTTTTCTAGTTAACTTTGTTAATTAAAGTGGCCTCGGTTTGAGGGGCTGCTGAAGTTCTTTGCTTTGAAGAAACTGCTTGCACATCCCTAGGATAAATTAAACCAAATCAGCTCACAGAAATCATTTGGCTTCCAGTGAACTTGGCTCCATGATATCTTATAGGTTAAAAGAAAGCCCAATAAAAACAAACAAAAAAAAACCCCACCCCCAAACTCTCTTCTGAAGGAGGGGAAAGGCATTTTTGAGGGTGTATAAACTAAAATCAATGCATTCTTCAAAGGCAAAGAAAAATCAGTTTATGAAATCTGACATGCAGTCTGTGAGTGAGGGAGATGGTAGGATCAATAGCCTCCCTTCACTCAGCAATGATGAAAACTTGTACTGAGTATTCAACTTTATGCACCTGAATATGACAAGGAGGGTCATGTACTAAAAGAGGCCAGACAGCAAATTACAGGGTAAAACAAGACATCCCACACTGCTCTGAACCAAAGGGAAACGATGGTGACTCAATTTGCAACTCTAAGTTTCAACAATACTCCTCAGCCTACAGAGATATATTTCAGGGCTGTCAGCTTAGACAAAAACTAAATTATGCAAGAATTCTCATAGAGAAGATCACAGACATTTTCACCTTGTTTGGGGCTTTTCTCAGCAAACCCAGAGGGACTCTGGTGCACTTGGACATTTCCTGCCTGGCTGTAGCTATCACCAACAAACCTGCCAGTCCCTGTATCCACATCTGTTTGTCAATATTTGAAACTCCTTGTGATTTTCCTCCTGGGGTCTCAGAACTATTTTTTCTTTCTGCTGGGCAACTGAGCAGATGGGATGGATCCCAGACCCATCTCATGAATTTCTGGTAGCCCCCAAACCCAATCCTTTCCCCATTACCAAAGCAGCAGGGAGGTTCACACCCTTTGAAGGTTGTGATTGCATGGGGTTTAGCACAGTCCATTTAGACGAAATCCTTTGGAATTCCTCCTAATGCTTCCATGAAGATAGCAATAACTTACTCATAATATTGAGCTTAGTTGGAGAACTTTGAGAATATAAAGAGCTTTCAGAAATTAATTTTCTCATTTTTATTCCAGGTATATAGAGATTCTTGTTAGAAGATGCTTGTTAGAAGAGAGATGCTTGTTAGAAGACTCAATAAGTGATAAATATTCAAAACTTCCAAAACAATTCCACAAGATGAAAGTGCAACAGGACGTGATGCTCCCAAATCACTCCAGCTCCCTAACAGAGCTGTTCACACAAGTACAATAATCAATCCATTGGCAGAACCACACAAGAGAACTGGAAGAGACTCACCAGAGGAGCCCGGCCAATGCTGCTCAGGTAGTAGAGGAGACCTTTGGCGTGGTAAATTGTTGGGTGCAGCTGGGAGCTGGGTGCCAGCCACTGCCTGTTGAGATCATCTCCACTCAGTGAACAACGAAGGCTGAAATCAGGAAGCAGCACATCACAAACTGGCAAAACAAAAGCTGATTCCAAAGCATTTCCAATCCTGGCAAGCCGTGGCACAAGGAATGTCAATAGAACACAGATATAATGGTTTTGAACACAGGGCTGGAATGAACCAATAATCCATATTATATTTTTCAGGTTCTTATACTGTATTAATTTTACTAATTAAATTTTATTAATTTAATTTCCTTTCTTTCTAAGGTTCACATAATTGCCGTCCTGCAAATAAATGCAGTTTGTCACTTACCTTGACATAAAGTTGTGACATCTTCCTCCATCACAGTTACACAGAGAGCAAAACTAAGTGAGAATAACAGCAGAATTTTTATTCTGAAGGGAAAAATGATAGTTGGACTTGTATTCCCATGTTTTAGTTTAATATCAAGAAAAAAAAAAACAAAACAGAAGGGAGTCTTGTTGTTGCAGACCTACAGAAAGAGTTTCTCATCATTGTCATTGGTCACACCCCAAACCTACTCTATCCCCCTTTCCTGTGGGGACTGACATTAGTTTGTGCCTCCTCAAACCATCCACACTTCCCTCTGCTAAAATGCCTTTGTACCCACTGGATGAGTCCAACATAAAGGGAGAAAAAAAGCAGGGAAATAGAAACTGCTAAAAGGATTCAGTAAATACAGAGATTAATATTAAGCCGCTGCCAAACTCAATTTTATTTTTTAGACTAAACTAAAAGCTCCTAAAAATGTTGATTATTCCTTCAGCAATTATAAAGAAATCCCAGGATATGTCACATAAGAAAAACTCCTAATTAAGTCCATAATACAACCTACCAATTCTGTTGCTCTGACACAAAATGTGACTTTTTTCAGAGGTGACTATGACAAGACAATCCCCAGCTCTGCAGTTCACAGGTGCTTCTGTGCTTAGTATTAGTTTAAGAAGTGTAATCCAACTCTAAAACAATAATTTGGAAGTTCTTATGAACTGTTTGGAAAGGAGGTATCATCCCTACATAAAGCCAAGAGCTTGGAGACAAGGTTCAGCTTTGTCCCTTCAAAGATTAACATTTCTGCTCATTTAAAGTTTTAAATATTAGCCCTCAGCTTGGCTGTATCCACAGCTCTTAGGGACATGCAGAATTCAAATTTAATTACAAGAGGCTGATTTTTCCCACCCTGCTCTGTCCTTCCTTCATTCTGCTAAAATCTGTTTACTTTTGAACACGCCAATTCCCTGCCAGTCCTGTTTCTCCTTATCCCTTCATTCCTTCTCTCTCCTTCCTAATAGTGATGACATGCACAGATAATGGTTTTGCCCGCTATGCTCTGCAGCCAAGGGTGAAGGTAAAATATTAAGTTGATTTCAAATGCTGATGGCAAATAAAGGGACTGGAGAGCTGAGACTGGCTTTGAATGTTTGGCAGGACTTAATGAAATTCACTACTCAAATCAAAGGCCTTTCCTACAATACACTTCCAAGCTATTATATTTCCTTTAAATGCTTTACATGTCTTTTCTTTTTTAAAGCCTAAGGAAGACTACATGCCACTTTGGATGGGACTGGTGGCAGCTTACAAAACAATTGCCAGAAAAAATTCCAGTAAAAAAACACCACTTCAGTGGCTCTATATAGAATACCCGAAATTCTGTCAATTTTTACATATCTTCCACCCAAGTCTACTACCCAGAGATATCTCAAATAATTAAACTGTTATTCTCTTGTTCAACCTGATCTGTTTACTATAGTCCTCCCTCCCCCTCTACTTTTATATTGCCAAGACATTTTGGTTTTGAGGGCAAAGCAACCTCAGAAACTGCACAAAACTCTGCACAAGCCACGTGTATGGATGGAGAGATCCTACCTGGTCCTAACATGAGCCTTGATAAGGTCAATGGAACATTTCAGTGTACTGCAATAAGCCTGTGTCCCACACAGACACAAAAATGGCAGGGGATGAGAAACACAGGAAAAACAAAACTGAACAGGGTTGTGTAGTAAAGAGATTGGGGATAAGAATAATACACAAGATATTAGACAAGAAAGGCTGAAATGGAGAGAGAGAAAAGTCACTTTTTAAAGAAAATATGTTGCTGTGTTGGGGAGATAAAATACTTCCCAGTCTCCTGTCCATAACAGATAAAAGGAAAGACAGGAGCCATCATACTGAATGAATGATGTCAGGACTGATAATAACAGCACCTGGGGCACAGGGAAATATAAAATCTAAAGGGATGCATCATGTTTGATATGTAGAGAGAAGGATCACCATTCACTGTGCATCTTAAAAGCAGACAGCAGTACCAGAGTAGGATGAGAGTGTCTGTATAAAAGGCAGCAGGCACAAGTAAACATCAAGATGCCATTGAGCAGCATGAGGCAGCTTCAACCAGACACACCATGCTGGACTTTATAAATAACAGCAGCCTAGGATGAAAACTGAAATATTTTTATTAAGATGTTATGGTCCTGCCATTCAGAAAACTGAGAGCAACATGGAGGGGAAAAAATATAAAATGGATAGAAAATCTTTTGTTTCTCTTAATTTGAAATCTTTCCAGAGATCAAGGCTGGTGATGGGAGGAAGCAGTAGCAGCAGTAAAGCCCTCCTTCATATTTTAATGGAGAGTGTCAGAAATATAGCCATTATTTGCTGGCTTGGACTCTGGCTTTGTTCAAGCCCATGGGCTGAAATCATAATGGCTACATTGCACCCTGGTATGGCCCTGAGATGCCAATAATTACTCCAGAAATGGAACATCACCAGAACAATGTAAATTTTGGAGGCTTTACAATAAAACAGTTGTCATCAGCATTACTGCAGTTAACAATTTATTTCCCATCCCCTTCTCTTTCCTTCTGACTGCAACATGAATGCTAAACTCTGTACAATAGAACCAGGCTCAAGAGCAGCTTACTTTCCCAACATAACCAAAACAGCTGGGAGTCCAGGAGCTGCAATCCCTATTCCTTATCGCTTTCCTTCAAGTGGGTATTTCATTCTTAAGTCCCAATCACACTCCCATCCTTACTTAAGCATGACCTACTGCCATGCTGATTGTCCTCAAACCTCATTTGTACCACATCTGGTTTTTAAAAAACCAAACAGGTTTTTATCAGGATTAGAGCATTGGAGCACCAAAGCAGGCTGGCCCTGTTCAACTGGTCAGATGATAAAAAACAAGGCAAAAAAAGTTAGCTGGTTCTAAGAGATCCCCATAAAGTACCAAACAATGGTGTTTTTTCAACTGTGATGTGAAGTGCTGCCTTATTTATTTTATCACCAAGCCTTTAAGAGGAAATATTTTATTACTCTCTTCTCTTTTTTTTTTTTGTGTTTTTTTTTNTTTTTTTTTTTTTTTTTTTTTTTTTTTTTTTTTTTTTTTTTTTTTTGGTGGCACCTTACCCACACATAATGCCAGACTCACGTCCTGAGTGACACTTTGTGCTACCTGGGTGCCAATGAAATCACCTGTCTCATTTCTGCTGCACCACCCTCCCCTCCCAGCACTGACTGCTAAATCCATGATGCACAATTCTTCCTCTTGGACAAACACTATCCTGAGCTATCACTCTGCCAGTTTTTTCCTGCCTCCCTTCAGCTGAGCACTGATACTAATTAGGGTAATGAACCTTCAGCGTTTTACTTGCTGCGTCTGACTGGTTTTGTCACAATGGACAATTCCTTGCTTCCCAAGATAAATGATGCAATCTGTGCTCTCCCTGGTCCGTGCATGTACTGTATCTCTATCCTCTGCCTCTGATGGAAGGGCTCCTTTTCTCTCTGTAGACACATTTCATTAAGCCACACTTGGTCACAAATCACTTGGAGATGCAGAACGAGACCTGCCTCACCCCAGGTAATGCTGCCAATGTCATAATCAAAAAAAGACAAGGGGTTCACCTGATCTGCTGGAAAGGTGAGCAAACAGCACTGTCAGGCGTGGGCCAACCTCCCTCCCAGTTCCAAAGGATGCCCAGTTCATTTCTATCTTACTTCTATTTAAATTAGCAGAAATTATTAAATAATAATTAGATAATTCATTCACCTAGAGTTGCCCACACTTTGCACTGTCAAAGAAATCTATGAGAAAAGCTCAAGTAATAAAAGTTTTGTGCTGTTTTATGAAGGAGCAAATAAGGATACAGGGAACAAATAAAAACTGAGTTCTCACCTACAACACAGAGTCATCTCAAGAGTCTCTTGTGAGACTCTTCAAATACTTTATTCAATACAAAAGCCTTAGAACAGCATTCTTAAGACACTGGTTTTGGGTGGAAATTTCACTTTTCAGCTCTTATAAGTATTGACTTTTTGCAGAAATGTTGACTTTTCCTCACCCATCCAACACCAATTCCCCAGAAAACTCTGAATTTTCTGTCAAAACTCCAAATTTTACTACCCAAAAAATGAGAACTGGTTAAGGATATGTCTCAGAAAATATGAATTTGAGGTTTCTTAGGTACCTGTTTCCTCTCTTTCAGAGCATCTCCTGGAGGGGGGCACATTTTCCCTAAATGCAGCATCAGGACTCTGTGGCAACAGCTCAGTGAGACGCAGAATCATGATGCAACATGGGAGTTGTAGTTTGGCTGGAAGAGCCTGTACAAAAACAGCCAAACAACTCCCAAATGGCACAGCGATGACAGTTCCAAATTCAAGTTCTGTTTTTAAATTGTAAGATTTGTCTCCAGGTTTGATTATCCATTATTCATAGAAAAGCTTAAGCTTTCCATGGGGTGAAAAAAAAAAAAAGCAAAAAAAAAAAACCCTGAAAAATATTTTCCCAAACAGCCCCACTTATATCCTCCTACGAGCAATGTCAGCAAATCCTAATTTTGCAGGCAGGGATATTGAGAAGTGGAGCCACTCATGCAGCAAAGCAGTAAATCAATGGAAAACTAGGAATAGAACCTGACAGCTGATGAAAGCACATCACATTAACTAAAACTTTGCTTTTAAATTTATGTCCTTTAGCCTGTTTCTAATTCTTATATCCTTTCCTATTTTAAATG